ACTCCTTTTGGGGAGGTACCTGTTGGGAATGGCCTGGGAGGAGGAGGGAGGGCAGGGCGGAGCAGCGGAGCTGCCGGGACATGATGAGCACACAGCCACGTGGGCAGAGAAACACCGGCAGGTACGGCAGAGTGTTAGACCTCGCTTCGCCCACTCAGTAATTATCTACAAATCACTCTCGGCATCCAGTCGCCCCATCTCCTCTTTCCGTGAAAGAAAGTGTGTGACTGTGCGTACTTTCACTCCCACACCTTTACTGTCTGCACAGGCTTTCCAAAAATAGCGCTCCAGCCAGTGCTAAAGCCTGTTCCAAGCTCCCCAGGCAGCATTGTGGTACTTCCTGATGTAAAACCCTGGCACTTCGTTTAAGATGCAGCATGTCGGGGCCCGGAGGGCACTAACGAGTGTTAACTGCCCTGCACCTGCCACCCATGCACCTTCTGCTTATGGCCCAGGACCTCATTTAAGCTCAGGCCTTGGTCCCCTGTCCCTGTATGAGCTGTGTTAGATGTGTCCCTATCTCCAGCCCTGGCTGCTGCATGGACTTTGGACCTGCCTTGTAGCCTTGTCTCCTACCCCATCTCCTGCTCCACACCCGGCTCCCTGGAGGGACCCTGGTCCCGGTTCATCCCCTTGCTGTGCCTGGGGCTGTTGATGGACCCTGTCCCAGCTACGCTGAGACCCCCATGGGACTGTGCCCTGTTGGTGAGGGCATGGCCAGGGCTGAGACCCCCTTGGCTCCTGGCTCAGCCCCTCCTGGCGCTGCTCCCTGAACCAGTGGCTCCACGTCTTGAGCTCCCTGCCAACGTTTCACTTTACACAGGATTATCCTCTGCAAGTGGCAGTGATTTAATCAGATGGTATCTCACCCTGTGTCTTTCTTTCCCCGGCTGAAGGAGTAGTTTGGGTTTGCCCTTTCCTCAGTAAAACCCAGCCTAATAATTTGGGCCGAATCTCTGCCCTGCCACAGTTTCCTAACAATGCTGGTGAGATGAAAATGTAAGGAAAATAGTTCCATAAGATGACCGTAGGAAGGGACATGAGACAGGTCTGTGTGGTCTGGCTATGGAGCAGACAGGAGGTGAGCAGGGACTGTGGACCCATGATCACACGTGGCAGAAGATGTGAAAGTGGCTCATGTGGTTTCACATTAAACCAGGATCAATGTTCATACATTTCTGACAGGCAAGAAAAGAGGCTTTGGCCAGAACCAGTTTATTTACAAAATAGTTGTTATTTGTTTGTGTAACTGAGTAAAACGTCAGCACACAACACAGCTGCAAGTAATGGAAAGTTTAGTCTTGTTCATGTGGCACCAAGTCAGAATGGCACAAAGCCACTTTCTTTTCACACCAAAAAAAGATTTTTCAGGAGCCCCAGGACCTCTTTGTTGGCCACTCCTCAGCTGTCTCCAACTGAGCTACAAAATCTGGTGTGCACATGTGCAGTTGAGAGCGTTTGGACACACCGCTGCAGTAGGGTGAACCTTAGATTGATACTGTGGGCATCCTCAGCTGACTTTGGCCAACTTTGCAGGACCACACTGTCCAAACAGCCTCTTCAAATGCTAGAAAAAATGGAGACTCCCTGCCTGTGGCACATCTCCCTCCTGCAGGCATCCCAGCCTGCGACGAGCTGCAGTTAGATGGGGGACACCTCTGAGAGCACATCTAGTTTAGCTCATTGGCTCTGATGGACACGTATTTTCATGGCAGTCAGGCATAACTCGGAGAGAAGGGAGGATTTCAAGATCTGCAGCTTTCCCATAGGAGAAAAACACCATTTAAGCACCAACCGATCAGATCTCCAGCTGCTCTGCAGCGGTTGAGATACCCATGGGGTGGCTCTAATTGCTACACGAGCAAATCAGCTCCCTCACTGCTTTCACCACCCAGCCTACTACAGCTCCACAGATGTTATGAAATTACTGCTGGAAACAGAAAAGCCAGCACATTAGTGACTAAGTCGTTTACTAATCTTCCCTCTCCATGAGTATTTGGCATCCCGACAGGGAGAAGGAAGAAAGATTGCAGAAGAAAATTGTACACATGTGAAGTAAAAGGTAAAGTCTTCTTTCCAGCTTTATACGTGAAAGCAGCAGCAGAGGAGTCCACCCACTCAGCGCTGCCGGGCAAGCCCAAGCTGTTTGAGTCAGGTCCTGAGTCTAATTAACCAAGTGGTAGGGTATAGTCAGTCACAGCGTTTGCACACATGGTGGTCATTAACTAATCTGGTGACTGGTTAAATGAACACATTTGGGTTAGAGAAATGCAGCAATCAACTGATGTGCCTTTTAAGCAGCTGCAGTGTGAACAGCTGAGCCTGGAGTTGCAGAGCAATGACCCATAACCTCTCTTCTGATGGGGAAACTGGAGCTGCTTTGCAGTTTAAATATGCAACAGCATGTCAATGAGAGTTTCTGTTCCTTGCTCTTAGAAGACCAGTGGTGAAGAAAAACAACTTGTCCTGTAGTTCAACTTCAGCTTAAACTGTAACTCTGGAGGCACAGCATCGTCAGATGTCCCTGCTTCACTCTGCATGCTTTCTTCACGTTCATCCCAGGATGAGCACCGAAATCGTTCGTCGCGATGACTGGGGCAGCGCATCAGTTAAACAAGGACAGCCAGGAATGCTGCTGAAAAGAGCAAAGATCTCCTAAGGTCACAGCATGGCACCCTTTGCGTTGTAAGTGTGAGCCCATGGTGTTATCCCGCTCGGTGTGCTTCATGCCCTTGCAGCGTTTAATACCTGGGTGATGCTCAGCCCGGGCATTCAGCCGCTGCAGGAGGCCCTACAGAAAGCTCTACCTGCTGCTCTACAGCCCTTCCATGCTCTCCCTCTGCAGCAGGGACCGGCCAAGGCTGTGCGGACAGGCAGCTCTGGGCAGCGCCTTGCAGCAGCACTTGCATTTTATCTGTGCCTGGCCCCTTGACATGCCCGCATCCCAACACCAAACATCACCACTTTCGAGGTGAATGGCCAAACCAGAGCTGCTTTAAAGAACACCTTAAAATGTCCCGTCCGTGGCCCAGGGCAATAGCTTGGAGAAAGGTTCAGGGTGACGCATCAGCATTCAAAAAACGCTCAATGCGGCAGGGTTGGGGGAGGAGGGGGGATGAAGGCTGTGAGGAGAGAGGTACAGAGTATGAAGATGCAGCAGGAGATAACCTATGACAAGCTGTCAGGAATTGTGCCACCCCACGTGCACCCCACAAAGGGGTTGTAGCCTTTGAACGGGCAAAGGGGGTGCTGCCCCTGCTTGATGGATGATGCACTCACTACTCCCTGAACCTGTTGGGATGCGACCGCACAGGATGCGTTATCTCCAGGGGCTGCCCCACGGGTCCAGCCTGTCCAGAGCACTCCCTACAAGGGAAGCATGCCCACGTCTTGTACCCAGATGTGGCAAGCACGTTAAGGGACTTGCAAGAAAGGGTCCTGCCGGGTCTCCAGACAGAGAGACTCCTACAGACTCTCCAGAGTCACGGTAGAGCCCTTTCTCCCACTTCTCCCAGTTTAACTACCCTAATCTCATCCTTTTTCTTAAGCTTGCAGGGAGTTGTGTCTATTTTGTCTTGAAGTGGCAGCCATCCTTCGGCCAGGTCTCTGCTAGCCGTGGAAGAGGTTGTACACCTTCAGGTAATTTTTAGCAGGCCTGGGGTACCTGGAGCTGCCACTGCTGCTGGATTTTTTTTGTTCCTGGCTCATGGACTAGGGGCTTTTCTTCTAACCATGTTGGTTGTGTGAACCAAACTGTGCCAGCTCTGATGCCACACCTCCCCAGTTCCTGCATTTTCCAGGCGTTGTTTCTATAACTGTTACAAAAATTCAGCAAGTTTTCTGCTCCCTGCCACCCTGGGGTCAAAGCTTTTGCCCAGCAGCTGCGTGATACACAACTGTGTATTGCGCACCTTTGATGACCAGCCACCTTTCAGCCTCTCAGATGCACCGTTTAGTTGTTGTTCTTCTGCAGTGGGGTAAGAGCTGGGTAAAGAGCTCATTTTCTTGGTTAAGAGCATAAGAAGAGTGGAAAGCCACATTAAAGACCCACCTCTTCCAGGAAACCATTCCCTGAAGCAGGCAATGGAAGAACCATGGTGGAAGGCCCATGCTGTGGTGGCACCAGTGGCCCTGGCAGGGGCTGCACACTCACTCGTATGGCTGTCACATTGGTCCTCAGAGCACACCAGCACAAGGCTGTGACCTTGCAGGAGTATATCATGGTCCCTCAAATGGCAGGCACAGCCTCTCTGCGTGCCAGCACAGCAGCTCTCACTGCTTCCTTGCACATGTTCTGGGAAAGCACTTTCGCAGGTGGAGAAAAGGGACTTTGTGGGGAAACATTTTCACTTTTTCCAGCCTTTGGAGGACAGTGGTGAGCAGGTGGCCCTCGCCCACAGCCCACCCTTTCTCCCTAGAGTGCTCACCTCCCTGTTTGCATCCATCCAGAGACTCATCTCTCTTCTCTTCTGGGCACCTTCTCCCCCTCTCCATACTCCCTGCTCCCAGGTCACGACTTGGCCCAAGCCATACTGAAAAACACTTAGCTGATGCACAGCAGCCGGGATTTGGTGTTCATGGGCATCCCTACAAAGTGGCTCACCATTGCTCTCCTGGGGGCCTGTTTTATGGTCCAACTGGACTGGTTGGTGATCAGCTCACACTAGACAGAGTGTGTTGCAGCACCCGAGATGCTGCATGGTACCCCCACACCAGAAATGAGAGTACTTTCACAGCACGCTTCCCACAGCCCCCTTTCCCAATGTGGATCTCCCTATCAAAAACTACAACAGGAGGGAAGGACTCTTGTTCTTTCCTCCAACAGGAGGAAAAGCACCTTGTGCTGGGTCCACTTGAAATGGATATGTTGTGCGCACACAGGATCGTTTCTTTGGCTCTACCCCAAATGGAGAGTTTCACTGTGACTTTTGACAAACTTTCAGCAAGGTCTCAAAGTCCAACAATGTGGCTGTATGAAAAGCCATGGGAAGTTGAGCTCCAAGGACAGAGACCACTTTTCAAGCTCATGTTGCTGCTCCTTGGTACATAGCTGCTCTGAATGAGCAAACTCCACAGAAAAGATGAAGTTTGAGGATCTCTTGCTGGAAATTGGAGGCTTTGGCAGATTCCAGATTTTGATTTTGTTTATCCTCTGCCTCCCAAGAATCAACCTTCCCATGCATTTTCTGCTGCACAATTTTCTTGCTGCTACCCCCCCTCATCACTGTGCAATTCCACACCAAGAGGCATTTGTGAACCTCACCATGGAGGAAGTTCTGCTCATCAGCATCCCCCGGGAGCCTGACGGCACTTTCAGGTCCTGTGAGATGTTCTCGCAGCCCCAGTTTCACCTGCTGCTCAATTCTTCTCTGCAACCAGAAAACAGCTCCATCATCCAGCACTGCCAGCACGGATGGGTCTATGACCACTCGCAGTTCACCTCCACCATCTCCACCCAGGTAATGCCTGGCTGTGATCTAGCCGAAAATTAAATCAGCTCAGTGTTTTGAGGAGTAGATGGAGAGGTAGTCACTGGGTGTACAGAATCAGAGGGGAATCTTTGCATTTTAACCAGGGGAAATTACTTGTTTAGAGAAGATTTCCTAATGGGGAATGGGGAATTCCTAATTTCTAATGGGAATGGGGAAGCTCTCTGAAGCTCAGAGTTAGAAGCCAACATTTATTGTTATTGTTATTACGGGCATCTTGCTTAGATTGATAGTTAGAAGCCAACATTTCTCCTTATAAGCATCTTCATTTCTCCAGGTGATTGAGAGATTGGGGGTAGGGGGTGAAGACACACATACAGGATTTTCTCTGCTTGGGCCACATGGCATTTGCACAGGATTACACCCTGCCAGGACTTCATATGAGCCCATGACTTGCTTTCTTAATTTTCCAAACACTTTGCAACTTCTATTCCTTTGGCTACCCCTCCTCAGGGTACCCCAGGATCGTGCTGCCTCTCTCCTCTTACCACCAGTGCCTCTTGCTGTCAAGCCAAATGTGTTCTCCAAGGGCCTCCTGCTGAGATACAGCATGATGGTCAGCCATAACCTTGAGCCTGCCCAAGGTCCCTGCCCATCAAACATTAACCACTCACCTCCTGAAACACTTTGCTAGGGCTGACAGTGATACCTCTGGGTGTTAATGCTTTACCTTCCTTGAAAAACAGCCCAAATCACAAGAGGTCTTAGGGAACGGGACAATTTGGTCAGATGAAAGGGACATGGCTGGGCTGGATATGACAGCAGCTGACTGTCTCAGTGAGAGCAGGGCCAAGTCTTAGCCTAGAGCTGGTGCCTCCTCCCAACCACCCTTTCTTTTGGCAGGCATGGAGGTGAGGATCTGATGCGCACCAGGGCTGTACCTGATTTCTGCACTGTTTCAGGGAGAAAGGTGTAAATCACCCCGGGGGGAGAAGGCAGGGGAGGTGTTCTGCAGCACGGATACTGAGCATGGACCTTCGTGGTGCTGCACCCATGGTGCAGAGGCCTCGGGACACATTCAAGGGGCCAGGGCTTTCTCTGGAGTCTTTTGCACCTGCAGCAAGAAAGGTTGCTCAAGGTCTGGCTGGCCTCGTCAGAGGGGCTGCAAGGCTGGGTTGATGATTAAATTAAGTTTTGCCAAGTTTGCACATACAGAAAATTAACTCTGCAGATTGGCCACAGCACTCTGTAATGATTAAGCGACATTTGCACCTCCGAGAAAGTAAAATGATGCTCATTAACTTAATTAGGAAGAATGTCTAGACCAACTTCTCAGTAAGAAATCGGTAAGTTAGCATTAGGAGCAAGTATTTGGCCTGACTCCCCCTCTGCCCTCCTTCCTCCCTCCGCAGAGAACTTCAAAGGAAACTGGTCAGGGCAACAGCAACTGGATATCAACGCCACATTCCCTAACGAAGGCTGAGACACGTCTTAGAGCTCACCGCAGTGTGGCACCCTGCAAATCTCACCAGGGCAGTCCCAGGAGCATGACAGAGGGAGCCAGGGGAGACGTCCACCCGGGCAGGTTGAGAGCAGCTATCATAGCAGAGGAAAAAGGGGGTCTCTCCATCATGAGTTGTACCCAGGAAAGCTTTCTGATGCCCAACAAGTGTCCACAGAGAGGCTGTCACAGTGGGGATAGATAACCAGGAGGCCTTTGAGATTTGTGAGATGCAACTTTACATTTTTCAGGACTCCGGCACTGCCCTATGTGCAGTGTAGTGCAGGATTCTACCCCTCCATCAGATTTGGCCAATATAAATTACAAGACACGACAGCTGACCGCTGGAGGGAAGGGGGTGTGAAAAGGCAACAGAGACTGAACTGGGCACTAAGTGTCATTTTGGCCTTGTGTTTCAGTGGGACCTGGTGTGCGAGCAGCGCGGACTGAACCAGGCGACTGCAACCTTCTTCTTCATCGGCGTTACGATGGGGGCCGTGGTATTTGGATACCTCTCAGACAGGTTTGACCCCTTTCAGGCTGTTCCTCCAGGGCTGCAGTTTCATGACGAGAACTTCACAAACCTGTGACCTGCAAAAGGGAATCAGAGGGGCAGAAAATGGAGAAAACGCAATCCTAAAGGGAGAATCCAGCCTCTCACAGGATAAGTGGGTTAAAGTCATACTGGGAAGCAATGCATTGCCTAAATTAATGGAACAGGCAGTTAACAGCCCACCAGAGAAGTAGCTCTGGCCTTGGTTTAGGAGGTAGATGCACTGCAACGGTGACCACAATGCTGTGGTCAGCACTGCTACAGGAACAGTAAAAACTGAAAAAATCCCCTGTCTGTGAGACCAATTTCAGAAAAGACAACAGTCTAAAAAAAAGAGAAAGCCAAAACAAGAGTCTAAAAGGGTTAACTCCTTTCAAGTAATATGGAAATTGGTTAAGGACACCCAAGTGAGGGGCTCAGACCAAACGCATTCCATATCTGAAAAAAAAAAAAAAAGAATCTCCAGAAAGCAAAAACTGACTGTCATTACTGAAAGGCAGGGTCAAGGAGGTTCTTAGAAGCAGGGAGGCATTCCGCAAGCAAGGGCTGAGGCAATGAGGAAAACAGGAACAAATCTCTGGCTAAATGTTGGAATGTGATAATGTAAACCTGAAAAAAGTCTGAGTAATAACCTCGAAAGGGCATCAATTAAGAAATTAAATATTTTTGTGAACAGCAGAACCAGGAAACCTGCCAGAGAACACGTAGTACAGGCATGCGATGAGGATGTGCTATCCACTGTACGCTATTCATTATTTAATGTCCGAGTTTCCTGCGCAGGAAACCGCTTCCCGACTTCCGTCCTCTGGGAGCAAACGAGCATTAGCGTACAGCAGGCTACGAAATCACTGCACGGCAGAGGGGAACCAGCTGCACAGTATGAAGCGCCCAGAGCCTTAGTGCTGAGGATGGGCATTTTTACATCCCTACCTTTGCACAGGAGTGTATCAGTATACTTTTACAAGGACCCAAGACACCTGGCTGCTCTTCAAACTGTGTGTCTTGGCTTTGTATCTAAAATGGTGTTATAGCGCAGTTGGAGGGAAAGAAATTCAGAATCACGAAAAGGAGCAGGGCAAAATAAGGCAGAAGAGAAAGTCTCTGCTAGAGCAAAATGAAGAATAATTTGTTTTTCAAATGGATTGTGAGGGGGAAGAGTCAGAAGAAGAACAAGGAGTAAAAGCAGCATCTGGAAATAAAAAGGATGTAGTGTGAGACATAAATGAGTTTGTGCTCAGAGGGAGAACGTGTAGGGGCAGGTGTTGGGGCTGGAGCTTTGAAATAAGATGATAGAAGAAGGCATGGAGAAATACACCAGGCGAGTGCCAGTAAACTGCCAGGAGCAGGGAGTGCCCATCCTGGAGCCCTACAGGACCTTCGGGATGAAAAAGCTGGAACTCTGTTGGCATTGTGTGACCCCCCCTCCCCAGCAGGGAGCTGGGAAGGTATCATGTATCAAATCGGTTGTAAACTGGTGTCCAAAAAAGACCTCAGGAACCACATGCCAGGTAGCCTGACGTCTATCTGTACCGGCCAAATGAGTAGGAACTATTCTGAAAGATTGAGTCGGAGGCCACATGGGTAGATATGACGTACTAGTGAAGAATCAGCAGGGTTTTTGCAAAAGATTCATGCCTTACAAACATACTGGATTTCTTTGAATGTGCTCGCAGGCATGTGAACAGGGGAGATACCATCTCCACGGATTTCAAGAAGTTTCCTCACAAAAGGCTCCTAAAGAAACTGAGCTGCCCTAGCATAAGAAGGAAGGTCTCTGCATGACTAAATAATTGATTAAACGCCAGGAAGGAGAGGGGAGATGTAACTGATCAGTCGTGACAATGGAGGGAGACCTGTGGGGACGTGAGCTTGGATTTGTGTGCTTTTCAGCACATTTGTAAATTGTCTGGAAAAGGAGCGAGTGGGGAGCTGATGCTGAGTGACCAGAGGCAAGATCTGAGTGTGGAGAACTGCAGAAGGAGCTTAAAGAGCTCTGTGACTGGACAGGAACATCAGAACACAAAATTTCAGGGTAGATTAACCTACAATAGGGAGAGAAACAACTCTAACTTCTCACTTAAAATTGAGACTCCTGAGCTGACCGTAGCTGCTCAGGATCAAGACTTTGGGGTTATGACAGACAGCTCTAGGCAAATATCCACTCAGCAATAAGTAGTGCCTGGGAAAGCAAATGGAAAATTAAGAATCGTTAGGAAAGGAATAAAAAATTAAAGAGAATATCACTATGCAGGAACATGTAAATGCATGGTGGCCCCACATCTTGAATACTGTGTGCAGTTTTGATTTCCCTTCACCCTCCTTCCCCACCTCCAAAGGATACAGAAAGAAGTAGAGAAAACTCAGAGCAACTAACAAAAAAAGACCAAGTTATGGCTTGACTTCCAATTAGCCAGAGCGGGACCCTTCAGTCTGCTAAAGTGGTGGCTAACGAGGGTTTGACAGCCAGCTGTGCCCTCAAGCTGACCGTGCACTGCCCACCTGAGCTACCTGGCCACAGGGCCCACAGGTCACGTCAGGAAAGGCTTGCAGCCCCTGTAATCGCAGTGGGGGCAGCGCATCCAGTAAATCTGCAGTAAATTTATTAAACCTCAGGTGTCTTGCCCTCCCCATCTCCCCTAATACCCCTTAAAAGCAACCCCATTAGCAACCTTCCTTTTCTCTAGCAGAGAAGCGGTCCCACTTCTTTGTGGTAAGCGTAATGCAGAGATTTCATCTCTAGTGCTCCAGGGTGAAAACCATCTGGTCCTGGCATTTTGCTACAGTTCGGGTTGGTTTTGTTTTAAGCCTCTACAGACATTTGGAGTTGAGAACATCTCTACTGACAAATTTTACCCTGGTAAACCCTCCAACAACCTTCACTGTGAACGGTTACACGCAAATACATATACATATATATATATAATTTCTGTTATTGTCTGCTCTTTTCCAAACACTCCTTTTATACCTTGTCCTTGTACTGAATTAGCTGTATGATGTTTTGGCCGACTTCCAGATTGGGATATTCATGAAAATGGCTTTTTTATTAATTCTTATGCTTGTGCAGTTTGCTCCTTTTGTTGTATTTTCTGCGTTTAATCCTTCAGAGATTGTGCTTTCCTACCTCTCCCTTTGAAGACAATTTTAAAAGCATTATTTCTAGCAGCCTCCCTGTAGCCTGCAGTTCAATCCTGCCAGCTCGCCTCTGGTTCCCTAGCAGGTGGCATGCATTTGCTGAGAGAATCTAGTAATGGGTCCATAAATAGCTGCCTTGCGCACTGCAGGGAATCTTAGGGCTTTATATCCTTCCTACTATATTTTCAAGAAAAAATACTCATTTAAAGAATGTATCTTCTTTCGTAGGCAGTCACCCTATTGGAAACTGGATCGAGCTCTGGTGTGTTTCTGGGTGTTTGCTGCTCCGAGCCAGGGGCATTGCAATGACTTTTGCAAACTGGCTCTGCCTAAATTTCAAAGCAGATCCAGCAAACTGCCTAAGCCCAAGCCAGGAGCTGGTTTTTTTCTCCAGTAGATTCACTAACTAGCTGCTGCATTTATGATCATTTTTAGGAATGTTATTGTGGCACTATGTCCTGGCACATCACTTTTTCCCCTGGTGCAATTATTCTTGCCATCATCCTTCTCAGGCCACTAAGAGAGCCCTAAAGGCAAAATCAGACCAGGATTTCAGTGCCTATAGACTAACATCACCTGTTGACAGGGTTGATTTACTACTCCAGTTTGAACCTAAGCTTTCATCATATGCAGTGCTGGTGTTCACCAGAAGACTGATGCCTTGTGCTCCATTTTGATTTTTAGATTTTCATAGGTTGTGTAGACATACATACAGAGATATTTCGCTGTCCCTCTCTCTATATGTATACATGTGCATTTGCGTGTATTTGATATTCTGTATTTCTCCACACAGTGCTCTGCACCAGGGATAAGATGGTCCTACAACTTCCAAAACCCTTAGAGAACAATCTCCTAGAAGATTCCCCACAGACCCCTTAGGACATCAGGTCTATTTGCACATGTGGGATGACAATTGGATTAATTTTATTTTCTTTTGGATTCTTTGTTTTCTTTCCAAGGATCAGGGTAAAAGCATCACAGGTCTCTCTCATCCTCGAGAGTGGTGGCAGTAGCTGGTCCTGAGTGAGCCAGGGGAGGAGAACATGCTGAGCCAGGCATGGGGACAGCCGTTGGAGGGAGCAGGGTGTCCCAGCAGCACGGGATTTCAAGCTGACATCGCTCACTGCTTTTGATGATGGTGTCGAACAGGGGAGCCCCATATATTGTTTTGATCAGGGCTGCTCTTTCTATTGGAGACCCTTCTTTCTGATGCTCATGGATCAGGCTGGTCCTTTGCATGGGATGATTGCACCACTGTGGCACCGGCTACATCCAGAGCTGTTTCCTCCTCCCTGGGGCGTCGCATCTTGGGCTTTTTGCAGAGCGGGCAACATTTTCATTTTCCTTCTTGAGTCTCTGGCTTGCCCCATTTCAAACCCTACTCCTGGGACAGGTTTCCAGCCACGGTAACCCAGCCTGTGCTTGTGGCAGGTTCGGACGGAAAGCCATGCTCCTGCTGTCGCTTGTGTGCTCTCTCATATTTGGGATGCTGAGCGCCGCCTCCGTCTCCTACACCATGCTGTCCATCACGCGGACCCTCACCGGGGTGGCCCTGAGCGGTGTCTCCCTTATCGTGTTGCCTTTGGGTAAGTGTCTGTGGGGGTTTGTGGGTGGCCGGTTGTACGGGGGGCTTCTGGCAGGCAGCAGGTAGGTAGGGACTTGTCTACCGGAGAGAGCAGAGGTAGTAGGAACAGGGATTTGGAAATCGTCATGTGTGCAGTTTCACTACAGGCAGCCAAAAGAACATCCCTCTTGGAGGATCCAGTAATTACAATTTTCTGTTAGTCTAATTAATGCTTTAACAGTCTACTCAAAACACAACAACCACCTATTAGCACTTCTGTTGCAACATTAACACTTGCAATCCGTGCTACCCAATTCCTGTTAGGGATCATCAGTAGTACAATAACACCATAAACCAAAGTATCTGCCCCTTTCCTCTGATGCTGAGTTCTCACCCTTCAAACACACAATTCATCCGCGTTGCCGTGTTCTCAGCAGGAGGAGGACAGTGTGTCATTCGCGGGGTGTTTCTACCTCCCCAGACTTGAGTTTGCTCACAGTCTTCATAAGTTCCCAGCCTGTATTTTTAGAAAGAGGTAGGGGAAAAGAACCACAGGAAAAAAATAATCATACAGAGCTAGGCAAAACTGAAGCTGAAGAATTTAGGTAATTACATAATAAAAACAAGCGCCAAACTTCAGGGAACCCAACAGCGCACTGGATGATTTTGTAGATACAGTTGGGACATACTAGGCAAGATTCATTGTACCTAAGAACAAGTTACAGGTGCAGCAAAAATTTCCTGATATTTGCAGATACAGCCAAAATCAAGCTAAAAAGGCTTCAATACTGAAAAAGTCCACACAAGACCTGACAAATCCCAAGACCTGCTACGTATTTTTATTGTTATAAAGGTTGATGCCTGCAAGGCAAAGTAGAGCTTGGGAGAGACATTTCTAATTGTTAGAGGTTGTTGCAAGATGTCCAGATCTTTGGAGGAAAATTGGCTTTTAGTTCACACACAAACAAGGAGACCACCATCTGTTCTGGCTTTACATGTGCATTAGGATGTACTTCGGGTAGATTCCACATAAACGACAATTCATCTTAATATATCACTTTCATCTGGAATAATGAGTGGGCAGAGAAATGGGAAACTGTGCAGGCAAGATGGTTAGGGAAAAAAAAAATTATCTATTTGATGAAGACAACCATCAGAATGCTATTGAAAGGGATAAAAAAAAAGTATCACCTAAGCTGTTTTTAGCACTGTTTCTTACTGTATGTCCAGTATTTCTTCTTTTAAGGTGTTGTGGTTTAGTTGCTTGCAGATTTGCAAGAGATTAAGCACTGTGGATGAACATTTTAAATGTGCCAGATGTTGGCCAAACAGCGGCACTCTCCTGGAGGAGAAGATCAGGGACATTACCCCACTTTGCCCTTGTTAAAAAGCCTTGCAGACCCCTTCCTGGAGAAGTCCTGTGTGTCCCAGCTGAACGTTACTTCCTTGCAGGCATGGAGTGGGTGGACATCCAGCACCGCACCTTCTCCGGGATCCTGACTAGCATCTTCTGGAGCATCGGGAACATGCTGCTGGCCATGGTAGCGTACTTGGTGCGGGAATGGCACTGGCTGTTGGTAGCCGTAACAGGACCTTGTCTTCTGAGCATTGTCTGCCTGTGGTGAGTGCAGCCACCTGCAGCCGGACGGTGGGTGGGGATGGGAGCGGGCTGTGATCTGCCTCCTCCGCTCTGCGAGCCTGGCAAACGTCGCAACGCTGATCCTAGGAGATTGGCTCCAGCAACCCAAAGAGGAGCAGGACCCACCTGTGTCCTGCACTCGGATCGCCCAGGCTCGGCAGCTCTTGAAAACTGGGTTTCAGCTCTCCTCACCTCCAACAAGGCCAGACTGGGGCTGAGGACAGGCATTTGGGGGACCGGTTGCAGCGCGAAGGAGCAGGATTTGGTGCTCCAAGCACTGTCAGTGGTGATCAGAGCAAGCAAAAGGGAGGCAGGGCCAGGACGCATCCCTGGTAGATTCAGGATAAATAATTTATCCATCCTCTGTCCCCACCTCACTGGGGAGGATACCTCTGGTACCATTTTTTCCGTATACCCAATGGCATCTGCAGGCTAGGTCAGCTGCATTTATATTATAAACCACGACAACTTCCCACAGCCTTTCTCAGCTGTGTAACCATCCTGATGGGTCAAATACATCCGCTTTCTGTGGGCTATTTCCCTCCTGTAGCCTTATTTAAGAAATACCTGACATCCCTTAAGCCTTAAAATGGGAGACAGTCCATTTAATTAAAGTAAGTCATTTTCCTTCTTCTTTTTTTCATGTAGTAACACAGTCTACATGATTCCCCGATACTGTGACTGTAATGTGAAGTGTATCAGTTCAACTTATTTGATGATCCAAAACAGTCCTTTGAATAAGCAGCTCCATTTCCTGGCTGGACAAAAGTCCCGTGTTGAAATAAGCAAGCAGGTATTCCCACAACTGCCCCACTGACAACATTCAGAAATGGGGGTCTGGGTCTCCTCCACCTTAGGGTGGTTGTTTGTTTCTCCTTGGACATCGGTGCGGGGCTGGACCACACTGCAGAAATCGCAGACATGTCTCTCAGGGCAATGGGGAGCCCTAGCTGGAAACCGTGCAGAATAAGCTCTGATTGTTAGACACTTGCACCCCAAAATTATAAGCATAATCGCTGAGGAGGAGGAGTGATATCCAAATGCTGAAACTGCCTTTCAGCTGCCATCAAAGAGGCTTCTAGAGATTACGGTTTTCTTGCTTGCTATATCTGTCCATCAGCATGAAGTTGTCAATTAAATAGCTGCACAGACCTAGCAGAAAAATCTCAAATAATACTTATGAAAAATGGGATATAAACTCATGCTGTTGTTAATCAATGGCTCAAAAAAGAAGTATTGTTTCGCTGCCCATGAGGGTTTTCTGGCAAAGAGTAACAGCTGATATTTGGCCGATCAAGTCCAACACAACTGAAATATGTGTTCTGCTAGCTTTTTTAGTTTGAGTTGGTTTGCTCTTTCTCTAGGACAACCAGCCATAAAAAAATGAGTCCTGGGAAGTGCTGAAATTTACAGATATATTTGGACTCACCCTTTCCATGATAGCTGATTTTTTTTTTCTTGTATGTTAGTGCCTTTTATGGGGATTAGTTCTCCAACAAAATATACTGCAGTCTGATCAAAATTCAAGCACCCAAGCGGTCAGTGATTGTTGGATAATCAAAAGCCCTTGAAGTACAGAATCAAAATCTAATTTAGCACACTCTGTAGATAGTGTTGCCACAATGTCAGAACTCAGTTGAGACATTAGACAATCAAAAGGCGTAATATTATACTCTGGAAATGGTGGCAATGAGTGCAAAATGCCATCTTTCACCCTGTATTTCTTAAGGTGCATTGGGTTATAAGCTTATGGGAAGGAATTGAAAACCCTCCAGAAGACTAGTTCTGCAAAGGTTTTTGCTCTACACAACCTTTTTGGCTACCGCTTGAATAGTGACAGCAGTCGTTCATTAGTTTTTTTGTAACCTGGTTTAGGGCACATTAATCACCAACAGCTTACAGGGAACTGGTCTCGGTCCGCTCCAGTGGGAGACTCCGGTGAGAGATTTTTGACAACTGCGTGACCTCAGTAGACTTCATACCCACGTACTTCTTCAAGGTTGTAAGTCTTCCCACTGACTGCACAGGATGCTCAGCTGAAAGCCTCCGTGAGAACAGCACATTCTGTTTTCTGCTTCTCTCAGGGGACAGATTTGGGTAGCAGGAGGAAGGTGTTAGCTCGTCTAGCAGAGTGTAGCCACTGTGGGGTATTTCCAATGTCTTCTGGACCCTGACCGCTATGCAGACCCACAAAACACCATGTACCCTCCATGCCAGATGGGCTGCACTGTGGTCTGGGAAGCTCTGGGCCGAACAGGGCCACGTAACCATGCACTGCAACAAGATGCAAGATCAGAGAGAAGCCCAAGAAGAGGGAGTCGTGGATGCTAGTTTATGACAAGTGCTGGATCTTTTTCTGGAACAGACAGAAAAATAAGAGTCACAGGACTCCCACCCTACACAGGTCTGCTAAGCAGACCTCTCAGAGTTGCTAATTAGCCCTACAGCAGTAGAGCATCCCTTGTCACTCGTCTAGCATGGATACTTAACTGGGGGCTGTAGCCGCAATGATTTAGACCACAGTTGACACTCTTGTGCAGAAGGCTTTGATTATTGTGAAAAACACACTATTTTAGTAATTAACAGAGTAAGTGTAGAGCCTGCTAACTCTTTTCTATATTGTTATTTTTTATATCCTACAATTTCAAAGTTTAAAGAGTCTCAAAAAGCATGAATCTGTAAATATAAACTCTCTGGGCCAGTTTTAATTGATAGGAGTTTGAAACTCCAGCTCAAAAAATTCAAGATTTGATCAAAGATCACATGATAAAAATTTTGGCTTGACATACTTCAGTTAGCAGACTGTACTCCTTTAAGGGTGGAACAGCATGTATGCGTAACAAGGGTGTCCCATGACTCTTATTCTTACGCACTGCAGTTGCTATTTTTAGCTGAGGTTGAAGTCCCATGGAGAAGACCCCCTCTCTTTGGCCAGGGCCATGTGTGTGTGGTGGAAAACATGGAGCGCCAACAGGAACACTGTCTTCTCTCCTCACACCAGGTGGGTCCCAGAGTCTGCCCGGTGGCTCATAGCCAATGGCCAAGTGAAACAAGCTCACAGGCATCTGCTTAGATGTGCAAGAATGAACGGAAGGAAGGACTTCGCTGTCTCACCAGAGGTGAGAAACTGAAGATCCAGACACTCGTTCTTCCTCTCCCATTTTCTCTCTCTATATTTTACTTCTATTCGATACCTGAAACGATGTTCAGCCTGCAGTGTGGTCTGTGGGGCACTGTGGTCCACAGGGTGGACCATTTTACTCTAGGAAGTAGCCACATCCACTCCTAAAGGTAAAGCAGCAGCTCAGCTCCCATAAGGCCAGAAATCCCCTTCAATAGGTGGAGTGTGTTTCCATCCATTATTGCCACGACAAGAAGCCCCAATGCCCTGGAGGACACGGCACTAAATACGCAGCGAGAGAGAAGCACAGCCTGAAAAAATAAGGCAGAGGCATCGCTCCCATAACAGAGAGAAGAGTGTGCAGGTGCATAAGCAATTTGCGCAGCTCAGTGTTTGCCTCCTTGGTTGCCCGTAGTGTTTGCCAAGTGTTGGTACAGCGCTAGCAGAAAGCAGACACATACGACTAGCACGTAGTTACCATATTTTTTTCTCTCATACTGCACTTGAGATACTACATGTAGTGTTATCCAAGAATGTAAAGGCTAGTCCACCTCAGGCTGCCTTTAGCGTACGTGCGAAACTGGAAGACTGTCAGCCATAGTGCCCCAGGGGGAAACATGGGTGTAAAGAACATTTGGCATAATCAACTTTTTCCCCTGGCTAAAGCTCTGCTCTCAAGTCAGTCATGGCTCCGCCAGCAATTTTAAAGGAATGTAGCAAGGGTGAGGCGTTGGGCAAAGTAGGCACCTACCCACTGGTTTGAATCCATTTTTGCTTGACCCTAGAGTTGTAAAGGATGGAGCAAAGTTGCTCAGCTAAGTGACTGAACAAATAAAGGGGAAGGAAAACGCTAAAAAATAGCTGCCTATTTTCAACTACAAAGCTCAAAGTATGAAGCTGATCTGGAGATCTTCGTCTTGTGCTGAGTTCTATCTTAAAACATATTTCTGCATTCAGACTCACAAATGTTGAGACCTTGGTCCATGATGCTTACTTAAGGACACGCTGGTGGCTCCAGGGGATGGTGATAAGCTCAAGTAATATCCCAGCTCTAGGGAGGACTCAAGGGCCAGGGAGAAGCTGGTCTCTCCCTTTGGAGAGACACCAGCGCATAGTCAGTGCTCACAACAGCCCTTCACAGCCAGGCTTGTATGGCTGCACGCCTGTCACTTCTGACTAATTTGGTCCACGTGATTTGTCTCGGCTTTCTCAAGAGCAACAAAGCTCAGCTGTGAAATCCAGCAGGTACGGAAGTCTGTGGTTCATTAAACATCAATCTTTCCTTTCATGTCCATTGGTTTTCCTCTTACCAAAAGAGGAAGATGGGAAACCCCTGGCACCAGCACAGGAGCCTTGTGCTCTGCTGTCATGGTCCAGCTGCATCTCTGTGTGCAGCCGGTGCTTCTGCATCCACACCACTGTCTTATCCTGCCCAGCATGCCATTTTTTAAAGCAGCTTCTTAATATCTGCTGAAGAGGTGTTCAGCCCTTCCGATTTACAACAGAAACATGTTGTTTAATCATATGAGAAATTACGAATTTACTGGTTGTGGCAGACAGCAGTTGAGTGTGACTCTCCGTTGCCTTTAATCAAGCCAGTAGCTCTGACCAAATATGTAAAAATAACTGATTATAACCTCTTTCATTTAGCCTTGACTGATGACTGTATTTCAGAGTGCAGTTTTTCACCAGGAAGGGCATGGGCTTGCACCCTCACACCATTCTGAGGGTTAGGAAATGCACCTGGGGCTTCCCCACTGTCACAGCCTTGCACCGAGTCACACCATGCTGTGACCACTGGGCCACAATCAAGGAAGGCTTGCAGTTGTGACACCTTCCTGGATTCATGACATTTATAGGCACATACTTGTTTTTTCTTGTCCATATCCACACACACAGGCAACACAGAACCGCCCGATTCTAGTTTGCTTAATTGACTTGACCGTGCATTGGTGTGTTTTGATGGCTTATTAAGGTAACAACTGATTTTCCTCATTTCAGAAGACTGAACTTTGAAACACGTATAATCTCTGGATAATTGCACAGCACATTACTGACGTACTCTCAGGTTTAATAGCATTGACTTACAGAACTGATTAAGGGATTTCCCAGTGTGAAATTCTTTTTTCAGTATGAAGAGCTTTGTCACTCATCCAAAATCTACAAAGAATAGTACACAATTAGAAATAAAATCTTAGCTCTTCCCTAGTGAAACATACTCTTACTTATAGCTATCCTCTTCCCTTTCCTAATGCTTTCTTTCATTTGTTCAGTTCTTTTAACCAGAGAGCTCCTTGGGCTGGGATTTCTTTTTTATTAGATATTTCAGCAAGTCCCCAGCCCCCATAACTGTTCAGCACCATCTTAATTGTAGGTGATGCTGTAGACTAGTAGATTCCCTCACCCTCTTCCCTCCCCAGCCATCACTGAATTATGTGCATTTTAAGTTTCCTCAGCCTCTCGCCATTCTGTCTCTCTCTCTCTCTCCTTCCACATGCCAAGAAATCTGGCTAACAATACATACTGGAAGATGTTTTCCATGTTAATGTCTTATATTACCCATTTTAATAGCAAATAATGCAACTTAAAGAGAGGACAGAATGCCAACAGGGTAACTTGAATCTAATACTGAAATTCTCAGCACTGCAGAAGTAGTGTGTTATCAGTGCTATGATTCATCCTACGCATTTGGATGAAAAGACTTACTATTTGTCTGTGAAAAAGGTAAAAAAAAAAAAAAAGGTAAAAGTTTAAAAAAATAACTAACTTGCCATACATGCAGTATTAACAAAAGTTACCAGATCCAGAGATGGGTGTACAAAAATAAAAGAAAAACATGGGCTCAGCAAACCCCTAGATAACATGGGAAAGGATCATCAAGGTGCTAAACAGACAGACACCCTGTCTGGTTCAGAAAGCCCCTGAACGGCTGGAGGCGGTGACATTTCTAGGGGAATATCTCTACGTGCTTGCCCAGCTCTTCTGTAGGCTCCACTGCAGGATGCTGTTGGAGACAAGGCACTGGAGAAGATGATCCTCTGGTCCAAGATGCAGCAGGCCCTCTTCATCTGTCTAAGTTGTAGGTTCCCTGTGCGGCTCTGTGCCTGGTATTAAGTATTTGTGCAAAAGCTTTGGCAAAGGCTTTGCTTTCTCTGAAGAGGATATTAGTTTCAGAACACATGTAATGAGTTAAGCAGACTCTCTCCTCAAGGTTTCCTGTGATTCATAGCCGAATCAGTTGTAACTGTCCTACCCCGATGATTTTTGGACATGGTGAAGCAAGGCTGTCCTGTGAGGAATTCATCTCTCCCAACATCTTCACTGTCTGCAGTCTCCTTTACAGTCTGCGATCTAATGAATAGCCGATGGAGGTTAGCACGTGGTTCTTCTGACCAAACGCAGTTGTTTGCTGCAGGATAAAATGACTCCACCAATTCTACTGGAGATCTCCATTAACTGCACAGGGAGCCCACGGCAACTAGCTTAGGTATAGCTGCCTGCATTGCAGAATTGTGTGAATCTCTTGCATCTCAGCCAGCGAGTAGAACTTACCAACTTTCCTGGTACTTACCCCTCATCCAATTGTTAAAAGACTTTGTGAATAAGCACTCTCTTCTTCCTTATGGGCAGGGCTCACTTCTCAGTGCCTGACTTTTTTATATATTCTGTATTTATACAAACAGATGTATAAATAATCACACTTTATATAAATGTGCTCATGAGAATAAAGCATGCAGCTCGCTGTTAGCTTCTGCCTGAGACCTGACACAACTTCAGGCAACCCTGTGGGGAAGAGGGTGGAACTGGCCAATGCTGACTTCGCTACCACCATGATTTGCCATTTTTCTGCAATCCTTTCTGCCACCTGGGGTATGTAGGTAAGAGGGGAGAAGGAGCCATGGGAAGAAAAAAAGCTCTAAAATGGTAAGCAATCTATAAAGTTGTAGGAAGACATGTCTCTGATAATGTATGCCCAGAGAACTGTTCTGCAATGGGAACGTACGGAAAACGCAAGGTGGAGCTGGCACTGGGAAGGGCACAGGCTCCAGCCCATCTAAAGTTTCACGTCTCGATCTTAAATGTACAGCAGCTGAGCTATTTTCTTCTTTCCACCTCTCCCAGGCCCTCAGAAGGATGGCAACAGACAAAAAGCCAGGAGAGAGCTACTCCTACATCAGCTTATTCAGGACACCAGTCTTGCGGAAGATCTCTCTGTGTTCTGGCGCTGTGTGGTAAGCAGTGTCACTTTGCACAGGAAATTTGGCCTGCCGTTCCCCGGTTGGATTTCCCTAATCCCCATCTTCCACGCACTCCTCACAGGTTTGGTGTTGCCTTCTCCTATTACGGCATGAGCATGAACCTAACTGGCTTTGGGCTCAACATGTACCTCTCCCAGTTTGTCTTTGGCATCATTGAGATTCCAGCCAAGATAATCATGTATGTGGTGGTGAATCGGGTTGGACGACGGCAGAGTCAGGCGTGGGCACTCATCCTGACCGGACTATGCATAGGAGCCAACATCATCATTCCCAAGCGTGAGACACTCTTCTGCTATATGCAGTACTGGCTAAAGGGGAGGTTTCAATTCCATGCAGTGCTATAGAAGAGGAATGGCAGATTTTGCCCACAGGCAACTCTGTATGGAGATGTCGTCCTCCTAGAACAGCAACTGTGGGACAAGGTTGCTAATGTGGGCTAACCCCAACATCTGACAGCAACAGATGTTCTCCAGTCACTGTGAAGTGGTTAGTAAGTGTCCAGTGATGGCAAGGTGAAGTGCCTATCATCACTACAGACATTGTCCAATGGGAAATGTCAGGACCCATCCTTTCATCAGTTCAGCTCCCACTGGGGCTAATAGTTACCAAACTTACTGAACCAGAATTTGGAGGCAGCAGCTCCAGGGCTATGAAGCCCCCTGTTTTGTCTGCCGGAGCATTGAACCCCCTTCCTTCTTGTACCTGAAGCCACAAAAGAAGCTTCTTCCTAGAGGCTGCGCTTTGACCATTGTCATAAATGTCTTTTCTTTCCTCCTAGCCTTCACCTCCTTGCGCTCTGTAGTAGCCATTACAGGCAAAGGTTTCTCAGAAGCTGCATTCACTACTGTCTTCTTGTACACCTCTGAGCTCTACCCCACCGTACTAAGGTAAGAGATGCCACTTGCCTGAGTGTACCACCAGAGCCTCGGCAAGATGTCGCCCTCAGGTCTTCCACATCAGCACCACATCAGCACCTTGCCTCTAGAAGTAGCAGGTTCTAGGGATTACACGTACTCACGAGAGAGGGGCAGAAAGCCACCCTTTTTTTTCACCTGGGTTATGTGTCGTTAGGTTATGTTGATAGAAGGATGTGGCGAAAGGTGAGGAGTATTCTGTGTGGGAAGATTTTTGAGCTCCATAAGGCATCTGTGCTTAGTAAAGTCTTAGTTCCCTCTGATAATCTGCCAATAACTGTTATAAGACCCTGAAAATAGTCATTTGAACTATCAAGTTTTATAAGGGAGACATACTACCACGTTTGACAGTCTTCTGGACATCAGATGATATTAAAGCAGGGATTAACTAGCCTTTCAGGAGGAAAAAGAGAGCTTATTTGAAATACCTGGGTAATGGTGACATAAAACCAGATTTAGCATCAGCATAGTTTGGGATACACCTGAGACTGGTGGAGGGAATCGCCTCACCAGTTTCTTTGTGAAAGTCTGAAAAAACCCTCATGATTACAGCAGGGCTTGTGGATTATGTCACCCCCGTCCCTCCCCACCCAGAGTACCCTTCTCTGCCATACAGTCCTTTAACTTTCACTGGTCTGTCATGTGTGGGGAACGATGCGTATTTAAACTGGAGCGAGCGCACTGATCTGCTACTTTTCTTCTCAGGCTGGTTTGTATTTTTACATGCTTAAAGACATTGACAGGTAAAGACAAAAGCCTTGGTTCCTTCTGCAGTGGTTATTCTGCATATGCACGAGTAGGTCCGGGCACGCCTGTCGTCAATGTGAAATGTCACCCATCCCCTGAAAATTAGTAAGTGGAACAGGTCCCAGGTCTTATTTTTGGCCTCCTCTCCAAGCTCTCCTGGGCTTATAGCTACAGCACAACCAAAGGTGCTCACAGGTTTGCTCTCAGCAGATCAGAGGACTTACTAGGAGGATGGGTAGAAAATGCACTCAGGGTTTTAGACATTTAAAGCAGAAACCACTTTAGAGCAGGTATTTTTAGTGGGGAGCTTCCTTCTCAGACAGAAATCTATTTATCACAGCAGCTACAGTTGCTCTCTGGGAAATATTATCATTGTAGGAAGATACGAAGAAAGAAAAAAACAAGTTAGAAAAAGCCCGGCAGAGGAAAAACCTGGAGGGAGGAAAGCCTCAGAACTTACAGAAAAATAGGGGGAAGGGGCAAAGAATCTGCGCTTTTTGCCAAGGTCTGACATGAAAGAAGTATCTATCTCCTTCTCGTGGTGGTCTGCATCACCACGGTGCCCTACCTTTCCAGGCAGAATGGGATGGGGTACACCTCCTTCGTGGCACGCCTTGGAGGGGCTTTGGCCCCACTTGTGTTTCTGCTGGACGAGGTGTGGAGGTCTCTGCCCGAGGTGACCTACTGTGGGGTAGCAGTGTGCTGCGGCTCGGTGGCCTTCCTGCTCCCGGAGACGCTCAACGTGCGCCTGCCCGAGGGCATCGAGGACATCGAGAAGGCAGAGTGAGTCAGCTCCATCCTGCCCTGCACACGGAGTCTGCTTGGGATCGGGGCTGTCAGGCTTCCTGCTCCTCTGACCATCAGCCCAAATGTGCCTTCTTTTCTTCCAGAGCGAAAGGGCCACCACAAATCAGCGCTCCCGAGGGCACGCCGCTACAGTCTCTGCCGAAGTGAGGGACTCCGTGGGACAGCCACTATGTAGGACTGCAAAACTGAGCCGTGCTCTGACCTGTCAATAAAAGAGCCTTTACTGTCCACCTAGTCTCTCTCTGCAGGGAAGTGGGGCTGAGGACATTGGAGGAAGGAGGCAGATCACGAAACCAGCTGGAAGGAGCTAACCCCACTCTGTAGCGTGGCCAGGAGCAAGAACACAGAGGTCTAACAGGGTCTGGAAATTAAGGAAATAAATAAAGGAAATAAAACCCCACGCTAAGCTCTTCCAGTCTTTGGCCTTGTTGGACAAGCGGCACCTTTCAGATCACTGCAGAGCCTTCCAGAAACTACAATCCATTGGCTTACACACCATAAAAAGCACAACGGAGCAATAAAAAATAACTAAGTGCGAATTTTGCGAAACCTGTTATTAATCTCAAATAAATCCCGCTGGATGGTGGATAAGCCACAAAGTGTAGCTACAAATATTTCTTGGATTTGGAAATGGTCTGGGCATTTTTCACAGCAAAGCTCAAAGCCAGCAGGAATCCCACTGAGAGTGGGACAACTGCAAGCATTTGTCCCACACACAAAGAAGAAAAAAAGCTTTTGCAGATCATTGCAAATTATTGTTTTATTTAATTTTGCAGATTATTACACATTATTTTTAACAAAAAGCCACCACCTCGCTACAGGAACTTTTCCATGGAATATTGAGTAATTCATTATTTGATTTCATTCTGCTTATTGGTGTAACACATTGATCTGAAATTTAGGGAGTGCCTTTGCATCTTGCTCTTACTTCTGCAAACAACAGGGATGAGCCACCCAATTATCTACAAATTTTGGAACCCTGACAAACAGCAGCTTTCCTAAATTGGGAAGAGGGAACAACCTCAGCATCTGAGCCCCAGGCGCCGTGATTCCCGGGGCTGTGGGGTGTTTTAAGTTAAGCCAGGCACAGCCCTGTGAGGACAACCCAAACTGAGGATGCATCTGAACGCAGGTGGAGAGGCACATCCAATCCCAGGTCCAAGAGCGCCTCCTAGTAGAAATATGCCGCCTGGCAAAATTTTATACATCACCTTTTTCGCTTTAAGGCAACAAAAGGAAAGCAAACTCCTCAGAACCGCCCTAAGGCTGAGATAATTTTGCGTGTTATTTCTTTGGGTCAAATAATCTGCCAAAATCCCTGGGAAAAGAGCATCTGCCTGTGCTCTGCTTTGGGTTCATCAGCGGCAGAATGATGCTGATCATCAGCTAGCCCCAGCATGCCAACATTAATAATAGAGCACAATACACCTTCAAAAGTGCCATGTGCAGCACACTTGTTTGGGCACCTGCCCAGGGCATTCCCCTACCTACAGCAAATACGTAGTGGAGACACCCCAAGGTGCTCGTGCCACGAGGCAGCACGCAAACTGCCCCAAGGAGTAGAAATTAATAGAAATTTCTGGGTTTGGACAAGCCTGGTATGTTTCATTAGTTGACATTTAGTAACTGCAGGAGTTTTCACATCATCTCTATATGCCTGCAAGTAGAATAAACTATATTTGTAATCCTGTCATCAGTTTCTGACCTGGGAGCAGTACAGCTTCACCTTATTTTGGCTACCCTGCTAGGAGTCTGAGCAGGCCAACGCTGCAGCAGCTTCTTCTGAGCCATCCAGGACAGGAGGCAAGACAAGCTGTGAAATTCACTTTGTCGCAACCTGGCAAGTGCCAGTCCAGGAAAACTGTCAATAAAGAAGGTAAAGTTTCGCTCCAGAGCAGGAGAAAGGTGAGATTTAATGTCCTGATTTCTTCCCCGCCTCTTTAGTCTTATCAAAAGGACAACAGATGGGGTCCCAAATTAATGATGTTGGGGTCCGACAGTTCTCATTCCCACTCTGCCCACGCAGGAGCGTTCCTCACAGACCAAGGTGTGCACCAAAAAATGACCACGGTTCACTTCTACATGGCGGGGTTGAGACAATATTGCTTTAAAACCCTTTTCTTTTTCTTGGGGAGGTATTTTAAACTCTGATCATTCTCCATTTATATTCAGGAAAAAAAAAATAGCTTCAAAAAGACTAAATTCAGTATCCCAAGTTTCATCCCAGTTACAAATAGAATACACAATAGTGTTCCATTTTAACAACCTCTACTTTGGCATTCTGTCAAAATTGGTAAAAAATAATCTGACAGGGGTTTTTTTTCATTTGAATGTTGTCATCATCCGTTTCGCCAATAGTTAAGTGTTCTGTGTTTTCCTTAGACTATTAATAAAATTTGTGGTTTATTATACCAGCTCAGACACACTAATTGTTGTCCCTGTCCACAATTCTTCCGAGATGTAAACAATTCTTCCCAGATGTAAAGCATTTTATTAAAAACGTTTTGGAAAAGCATTTTATTGAAAATGTTTGGGAAAAACATTTCATTAAAAACATTTTGAACAATTTGGCAGGAGAAAATGAAATATCAGCCATTTTTAAAATTATTTTTTTCTGTCCGTGAATCACATAACACCTTGTGCTGTCAAAGAAGAAAAGGCAGTAACATCAGTGTGCAGGTCATGACCAATCTACCACACATCTCAGTTTTCCTTCAGCAAAATGTTGTTGATTAGTTGGCAAGACATCATGGCTTACAGCAACCAACATGAGTATGCAATGCTGAAGTCATTCCTCATAGAGTATCCATCTACAAGGAAAAACAGGACACTAAACAAAACAAGAACTGTTTCCATTACTGAAAGGTTTGTTTAGACAAACCTGATTATGGGGGTGAAATCCAATTTCCAGGTTCTGAACTTGTGAGAGAATTTGAGTCTTTGGTCTGCTGCAGACTTGTTTAAGAGAAGGACAGAAGTGATGGTGACAAACAAAAAGACATCTTCACAAACAGAAAAAACAAACTAGGTAACAACGCATGAGACGAGAAGAACGCACCTTTAGGAAAACTAAAAGATATCAAGAAAAACGTGGTTTGAAGAGTTGTATAGGTTAAGAGGAGGAGGTGGTGTGGCTCCAAGCACTGTCACACCCGGACATGGCCAACCCAGGTCTGAGGCAACCCGGCCCGCTCCTCACTCAGTGCCCTCCTCGGGCAGCAGTTTATCGCTTTGGTTTATCAGCACCCTTCTCGGACGGCACACAGTACCCAGCTGCAGCCTGACAGGCACTGAGCCGGAGGGGAACGGCCCCTTCCCTCCACCTCCCGGCTCTGGCC